CAGAATCTAGAATCGATTTTATGCACACACAAAAGCAAATAAAACATGCACTATAATTCGGGAAGGAGGTTTGAACTATAAGTAAGAAATAACAGAAAATGAAAAATTAAAATCAACTCAAAAACATAAATCAAGCGATGAAAAAGAAGTTAGAAAGTCGCGGGTAATTTATTCTTGTTCTAAACATAAAATAGGGCAAATAATTATTCGGTTCACGATTGACACTCACGCTTAATCACCTAGCGGTTCACTATCAATAACTTTTCGAAACAAGGGATTGAACATATATAAGAAAGTTCAAGCAAACACACCGGCCTAGGGTCTGATCCGAATAACTCTCGTAACTAGGGAACAGACGTAGACGAGCATGTATTTGAATCCAAAAATCTATAGTCTACTCTTTTATGAAATCTTCTATCTAATGCGAGCCTAGGTCAACAACTTCTTTCCTTTCGGTTCTAAATGTTGATTAATTAAATTATAAGATGATTAATCGATGATGAGAGAAAATATATGACAGATAAATTCACTGTCCAAAGAATATGTTCAGTATTTGCATTTATACTCAATATATTTTCAATGTATGTTGTGTTTTTATTTACATAACATTATCTAACCATAATTATGAGGTTTGGATTTTGTTTATATCTATTAAAATATTCACTTGTGAGTTGTTCCACATCGTTTATATATGGAAAATGGGCCTAATCTATAAGTCTAGTGGGCTACTCCTCCTTCCACCAATTGGTTTTGGGATGGAACATCTCTACTTCATCTGGGCTTTCCCTGTCTTGGTGCGCTTCATCTGCGTGGGACCGCACTCGTTTTTACCCGTTTCTTACATGGTACCAGAGTTGGTTCCATGTGGAACCGTGTGACGACGTACCCATTTTTAGCCCATTTGGGCTTGGGCACACGGCTTCGTATATGGGCTTGGGCTTCTTATGAAGGAATCACAAGTGAAAGGGCGTATTAGAATATTCACTTGTGAGTTGCCCCACATCGTTTAGATATGGAAAATAAGCCTAATTTATAAGTATAGTGGGTTACACCTCCTTTCGCCAATTGGTTTTGAGATGAAACCTCACTAAGGTGAATCTAGGCTCACCCTCTTATGGTGCGCTTCATTTGCGTGGGACCACACCCGTTTTCTCCCTGTTTATTACATTACCATTTGTTTACATTTTTTTACTTAATTTTCAATCTATAACATTGATATGTGTTTGTCCCATTTTTGTTGCGTTTTTCGTCATTATTTTTCCTTTATCTTCTCCTCGTTTTAGGTCTTTTTGTTGTTTTTTAGTTCGGTATTCCTTTTATTGCGTGTTTCGTTTTATTCTAACCTTCTCTTTATTTTTAGTTTGTTTTTCTAGATTTTCTGCGTTTTTCTCGTGTCTTTGGCGTGTAGGCTGAAAGCCTCGGGGGTTTCGGATTTCAAACAAAACAATTAGCCACGCAAGCGGAAGTATTTAAAAGGCTTCGTTAAGCGACAAATTCAATCGAGTTCAAACGAGTCCGTGACGTTCACTGAAACTCCACAACCGGCAGCCACCACTCCACGGCGAGGACAAAGATTCTCCATGCATAGCAGCCCCGCCTCGCACTCGCACCTACACCACGTTCAGAAAGCCCACAGCGGATCTTCTCTCCCGCAGCCCGTGCCTTCAATTCCAGCAGCACCACCGCGTGACCCCATCTGCACGACGAGAATAACCATCCCCATTACAAGACAACCTCATGCCGCTACAAGCTGTTGCTCCTCCTCGCTGTGCCACCGCAAGCATTCAATCGCGCCGCGTAGCAGGGCCACGCCGCGCCACTCTCCCCAGTACACCTCGGGGCGCCTCCACGCCGTGCCAGAAGAACTGCCGCGCCGCTGCAACCTCTTCACGCCGCGGAACCCATCCCCATCGTGCCGCGACAAGACTGTCACGCCGCGGCGCCCACCTGCTGCAAATTTTCTTCATCGCGTCCCAGTCTCTCTTCCGCGGCAGCGACTCCTCCTTCTCCGCGGCCGCGGCAAACAAAAGCAGACCGCAACAACCTGAGCATCAGAGTTAAAATCACGCGGCCATGGGACATCTCGCGGCCGCGAAGCTTCCCTTCGCTGCGGCCAGCGGACCTTCTCGCGGCCGCGGAAGCTGCGAATTCAGATTTTAAAGATCAGATTTTGGACGACTTCGCATTATTCTTCCCAGCCTAGGTTTTATTTTTATTTTCGTTCCTTAGCTGCAAAACTGGTTTTCCACCCCTTTTCTTTTCACAAATTTGCACGAAGAACACGGATTGGACTTCGGAATTTGCTATTGTTTTCGGATTCAAGCTTGTTATTCGGATTGTCATTCATCTTCAGAATTATTAATCGTAAGATCTTTCCTTTCAATTAATTTGTTGAATATGGGTTCGTTGATGATTATGATTTCGATTGTTAATTCGATTATGAATAGCTAAATTAATATGCTAGGGATTAGAAGATTGATGTTTTAATTCGTTCGTGATTGTCGGGCTTGAGATTGTTCATATTGTACGAGTTGCTCTTTTTCTTGGGTTTTTTCGATTATCAGGCTCGAGTTTTGCGAATTGTTGAAGGGTGACACTTCAACATCCAATTATTTTAATTGAGTTCGTTTAATTCATGCATGATTTTCATGAAATTCTAAATGACTAGTTGATTAATCATCTCCTAGTCTTCTTTAATCGACTTTTTGAACCGAAAGGGGAGGAGTCGGTCGAAATAGGCTCGTATGAACTAGGCTTGT